GTTAGCAGTCAAGTGCCTTAGGCACTATGCCAGCAGAGCTTCTGTGAGAAAGGTAGGGAGGAAGGAATGCATAGACAGGAAGCACACAGGAAAAGGATAATCAGCGAAAGTGGGAACTGAGATACTACACTGTGGGGAATGTAACGAGTATCACAACACAAAATGTGTATATGAATTGTTGAATGTAAAATGAATGTATTTTGTAAAATTTCACCCAAATCACAATAAAAATGATTTTTTGGAAAAATTACATGAGACAAAGTTTCACCATCTTTGATTCTAAGGAGCCCAGCTGTATGTCTTCCAAGACAGATTTGTTTGTTCTTCTGACAGTTTATGGTATATTCAGTATTCTTCAGGAACAGTGTAGTTTAAAGTCACCAATTCTTGTGTGATCTTCCTTGCTCATTGTCCAGCTCTCACATGCATATGAGGCTTTTGAAAAGACAATGGCTTGAGTCAGGCACCCCTTAGTCTTCAAAGTGACATCTTTGCTCTTTAACACTTTAAAGAGATCTTTTGCAGCAGATTTGCCCAATGCAATATGTCATTTGATTACTTGACTATTGTTTTCATGAGCAATGATTATGGATCCATGTAAAATGAAATCCTTAACAACTTTAATCTTTTCTCCATTTATCATGCTGTTGTTTGTTGGTCCAGTTGTAAGGATTTTCATTCTTTATATTGAGATGCAATCCATGCTGCATCAGGGACTGTAGTTTCTGATATTCATTAGTAAGTGCTTCAAGTCTTCTTCACTTTCAGCATGCAAGGTTGTGTCATCTGAATATGACAGGTTGTTAATGATTCTTCCTCCAATCCTAATGCTATATTCTTCTTCATATAGTTCAACCTCTCAGATTATTTGCTCAGCAGACAGATTGTATAAGGATGGTGAAACTGTATAGCCCTGGCACACACCTTTCCTGATTTTAAACCAGGTAATATCCCTTTCCATAGTGATAATGCATCAGAAAGCCAAGGAGGGGTCGCTATGAGTCAGATCCAACTCGACGGCACTTAACAACAACAACAGCAACAATATCCCTTTGTTCTATGCAAATGACTGCCTCTTGGTCTATGCACAGGTTACTCATGAGTACAATTAAGTGTTATGGAATTCCCATTCTTCACAATGTTATCCATAATTTGTTATGATCCACACAGTTGAATGCCTTTGTATAGTCAATAAAACAGGTAAACATCTTTCTGGTATTCTTTGCTTTCAGCCAAAATTCTTCTGACATCAGTAATGATATTGCTTGTTCGTGTTCTCTTCTGAATCCAGCTTGAATTTCTGGCAATTCCCTGTCAATATACTGCTGCAACAATTTTTATATTATTTTCAGAAAAATTTTACTTGTGGGTGACATTGATAATATTGTTCGATAGTATCCGTGTTTTGAGGGATCACCTTCCTTTGGAATGGATATAAGTACAGATCTCTCCCATTTGGTGGCCAGGTAGTTGTCTTCCAAATTTCTTGGCATAGATAAGTCAATGCTTCAAGTGTTGCATCCATTTGTTGAAACACCTCAATGGGTATTCTGTTAACTCCTGGAACCTTGTTTTCCACCAATTCCTTCAGTGTAGCTTGGACTTCTTCCTTCAATACCATTGGTTCTTTATCATAGGCTGTCTCCTGAAATGGTTGAACATTGATTAGTCCTTTTGGTAGTGACTCTGTGTATTCATTCCATCTTCTTTTGAAGCTTCCTTCTTCATTCAATATTGTGCCCACAGAATCCTTCAATATTGCAATTCAAGTCTTGAATTTTTTATTCAGTTCTTTCAGCTTAAGAAATGCCAAGTGTACTTGGTCACAGCCAGCTACCCAGAGAGACTGAGTAGTTGAACTGGTGGGCTCAGAACCATAGTTTCAGGGAACATCAAGCTCAATTGGCATAACATACTACACAAAATATTGTTCCACCTCCTACTTTGGCGAGTAGTGACTGAGATCTTAAAAGCTTACAAGCTGACATCTAGATGCAATGATGGGTCTCTCCTCGTCTAGAGCAAAGGAAAATGAAGAAATCCAAAAATTCATGGAAACAATCAGTCCTAGAGACTGGTACACCATCTGATCTGCAGCTTATATGACTATGAGACCAGAAGAACTAGATGATGCCTGGCTACCACTGTCAAACATTTGGAAGGGGGTCTATGTAGGAGATCCTGGATAGAGAGGAAGGACAATGTGGAACAAAACTCAAAATCATTTGGAGAAAAAAAAAGGGGGGGGGATCAGGTTTGCTGGTCCGATAAAGCCTAGTGGAACCACTGGGACTATGGCCCCTAGCTGCCCTTCAGGTCTGGAATTGAACCCACATCTGTGGTTTCCAGCCAAACAGAAGACAGGCACATGAGTTGAACATTTACCTGAGGTAGATACACTCCTTGGAGAGAACAATCATGGGAGGAAGAAGGGCTGCGTATGCACAGGAAGACAGCTCAGGGGGAGGAGTGCATAGAGGGATAGACACAGGGAAGGGCTAATTATTGGGAGGAAGTGGGAGGGGAGACGCTGCATTGTGGTAAATTGTGGTCAATGTCATGAGACAAAGTGTATGTGAACTGCTGTATGGAAAGTGAATTTGCTATGTAAATTTTCACCCAATCACAATTTTAAAAAAATGCCAAAGGTGTTCTTCCCTTTTGATTTTCTAACTTTGGGTCTTTGCACATTTCATTATAATACTTTACTTTGTCTTCTCGAGCCATCCTTTGAAATCTTCTGCTCAGGTATTTTACTTCATCATTTCTTCCATTTGCTTTAGCTACTCTCCTTTCAAGAGTCCATTTGAGAGTCTCTTCTGACACCCATTTTGGTGTTTACTTTCTTTCCTGTCTTTTTAAAGCCCTTTTTCCTCCTTTATCTATGATGTCCTTGATGTTATCTCATAACTCATCTAGTCTTAGGTCATTGGTGTTCATTATGCTAAATTTGTTTTTCACAGTCTCTAAATTCAGGGGGGATAAAATCAAGGTCGCAATTAGGCTCTTGTTAGACTTGTTTTAATTTTCTTCAGCTTCAACTTAAACTTGCATATGAGCAATTGATGGTCTGTTCCACAGTCAGCCCCTGGTCTTGTTTTGACTGAAGATATGGAGCTTCTGCACTGTCTCTTTCCCAGTTGTAGTAGATTTGATACCTGTTTGTCCTATTTGTTAAGGATCATGTGTATAGGAACCATTTATGTTGTTGAAAAAGGTATTTGCAATGAATAAGTAATTGTTTTTGCATAATTCTATCATGCGATCGCCACCATCATTTCTATCACTGAGGCCATGTTTTCAGCCACTGATGCTTCTTTATTTCCAAATTTTGTGTTCCAATCATCGGTAATTATCCATGCATCTTAATTGCATATTTGGTCAGTTTCAGACTGTGGAAGTTGGTAAAAATCTTCATCTTTGGCTTTAGTGGTTTGTGGGTAAATTTGAACAGTAGTAGTATTAACTGGTCTTTCTTGTAGGTATATATGGATATTATCCTATCACTGACAGCAGTGTATGCCAGGATAGATCTGGAAATGTTCTTTTTGGTGTTCAATGCCACCCTATTCCTCTTCAATTTTTCATTCTTGGTATAATAGACCATACGATTTTCTGATTCAAAATAGCCAGTACTAGTCCATTTCAGTTCACTAATGTCTAGGCTATTGATCTTTATATGTTCTATTTCATTTTTGACAACTTCTAGTTTTCCTAGATTTATACTTTGTACATCCCACATTTTCAATGGTTTATCAATGGATGTTTGCAGTGTTTCTTCTCATTCTGAGGTATAAATCCATCATGGCTGTACAATAATCCTAAAATTTGCTTATGCATCTAACAATAAAACTTCAAAATATAATCACTGTTAGAACTATTAGGAGATCTAGATAAATCCATAATTATGGTTCAAGATTTCAATATAACTCCCTCTCAATCATTGTTAAAACAAGTAGATAGAAAATCAGTAATTATGTAAAACAATTGAGCAACACTCACAACCAATTTGACCTAATTGATATTTATAGAATATTATACAAGAATTGGGGGAGCTCTGGTAGCATAGTGCCTGAGGCACTTGACTGCTAACCAGAAGGCTGGCAGCTCAAACCCACCAGCCACTCCTCAGAAGGAAGAGGGGGCAATCTACTTTCGTAGTGATACTGCCTCGGAGACCCAAGGAAGGGTTGCTATGAGTCGGGTCTGACTCAACGGCACATAACAGGAACAACAACATACAAGAATGGCTCACTGCCTTCAAGTCAGATCCGACTCATAGAGACCCCTCCTTGGGTTTCAGAGGTGGTATCACTACGAAAGTAGATTGCTCAATCTTCCTTCTGAGGAGTGGCTGGTGGGTTTGAACCACTATCCTTCTGGTTAGCAGTCAAATGCCTTAGGCACTATGCCACCATATTCTTTTCAAGTACACATGGAAGATTTCCTAGCATAGACCATTTTCTGGTCCATAGAACCAATCTCATTACATTTAAGAGGATTCAAGTCATACCAAATATATTCTCTGATCACAATGAAAATAAATTAGAAATAACAAAAAGCTTTGGAAAATCCCCAAATGTTGACAATGAAAAAACACACTTCTAAAATAAGAAAGCAATAGGGAAATTAGATTCTATTTTGAACTTAATGAAAATGAAAGCACAGCATTTCAAAACATGTGGGATATTTGGCAGCATCCAATACATTTAAAGGATGACTTATTCTATCAGAGAAACAGATATAGTTCAAATCAATGATCTTAACTTTCACTATTAGAAACCCAAAAAAAAAAAAAAAATTAAACACAGAATTTGAAGGAAGTACATAATTATCAAACAGAAATCAGTGAATTAGAAAACAGATAAATGATAAAACAGATAGGCACAGCATAAGATGCTCAACATTATTCATCATTAGGAAATACAAATTAAACCACCTTTGAGAATGACACTGACATGTCAAGTAGTGACCAGGACATGGAGGAACAAGAACTCTCACACACTGCTAATGGGAATGTAAATCGGCACTACCACTTTGGAAAATAATTTGGCAATTTCTTAAAAGGTAAATATACACTATAATATGATCTTTCCATCATATTCATAAGTATTTATGCAATAGAAAATAAAACATATGTTCATGCAAAGACATAGATGTGAATGTTCATAACAAGCTGTTTTATTTATAATAATAGTCAACAATTGGAAGCTATTCAAATATCTATCAAGAGACGCAAGGACAGAAATAATTTTTGCTATAGTCATAAATAGACTAATCTCAGGAATAAATGAAATTAACTCTTTATATATGCTAAAAGATGCCTGAATCTCAAAATAATTATGATGAGTGAATGAAGCCAGAACCCCTCCAAAAGTATATACTGTATAAATAATTCCATTTGTATTATATTCCACATATTGCAACTAATCTGCAGTGACAGAAGGCAGATCAATTATCTGGAGACAAGGACAGGTAGTCAGCGAGGGGCAGGGAGAAGGTGTTACAAAGGTGCTAGAGACAAATTTTGCAATTGATTAATACATTAATTATCTTGATGGTATTGATGGTTTCATAGGATATATATTTGTTATATCAAATTATACAGTTTAAATATGTCATATTATGTCTATTATACATCAATAAAGCTGTTCATTTATTTGCAAAATATTCAGAGAATATTTTACCTTTCTGTTCAGTCTCATCTGTAAAGTGAGTATAACATCAGTCCTACCTTGCACAGTACTTAGCACAGATGAAACAATTAATGATATGCATTATTACCATCTTTTGTTGTTCTTATCCATTCGTCCTTTTCTAAAATTAAGTTCTGAATTTTGCAAAATTTATTAGTATATGTGGTTGTGCAGTAATATGTGAAAAAAATGTGACACACAATGATCACAGTGACAGGTAAGGAATATATCCACAAATATATATGTTATTGGGCCAGAGACTTACTGGTTAGGTGACAGAAGGGATCCATCTTCCCACTGCCAGGTCCCATTTGTTGGAAATCGCACTAGTCCCATCCAGTGATACGATTTTACCAGTTTAAAGAAATCCTGTTTGAAACCACAAATAAACCATAGTCAGTGCTCAAAATTTTGGTAAACATAATGGCATAATCAATCAGTCATTTCGTCTTATGCTAGTGAAAAATGCTGTTTAGTCACTTGCATAATTCACACTTAGGCAGCACATACATAATACCTGCAATGCTTATGCTTTCTTACTGTTATTACATAAAATTTTGGCTTCCTACTAAAGTATTTATCCATTTTCTGTAACAAAAATCATAAAACCATTAAAAATAGATGGAAGGTTATAGGGATTTAATAGTATTTCCCATGATTACATGAGATATATACTTACATTTTCAAAACATATACAGTTG